AACTCCAAATGACTTAGCCACCAGAGTTATTAAAAGAGGGTAAGAAATACTTGAATGCATCTTAATTTTTTTCTACAGGAAACCGCAATTTCAAATTTATTTGCTTTCTTGACTGGGCAAAGCTGAACAATTAATTTGATGAATCAAAATCATCCCCCAAATCTCAAGGAAACTGCAGCGCTTAGGAAGGGAGCAGCCTGGCTGCACAGCTGATCTCATCTTCAATTTTTTTAAATAATTAAATCCATTAACTGAAGTCTAGAAAAGGTGTATCATGTTCTGTGTCTGAAGGCTGCCCTCAGTTGGTATATTGGTTATTTGTTAAACTTTTGGATAATCAAATAAATAATCCAATTAATTGGGCACCATATTAATTTTTTAAAGAATTAACAATTTTTTTGGAAGAAATCTCAAAGCACACTCCAGAAACAGCAGCTGAAAGAGGCATTTTCCCTTCCCATCAATGGACAGAATGTCCCTTCCAAGGTGGTTTTTCTTACAAGACATTTACTCTACATATAAAAACAAAACCTTCTTTAATTCTCCAGATGAATCAACTACATTTCCTTTTCAGGGGAGGTCCTAGAATTACTCCTGCAGATGAAAAAACCCTGATCTTCCCAGACAAAAATCTGCAAGGGCACTCATGAAAGACCCGAAATACATCCTAGTTACAGACAGCTGGAAGGGCCTGAAGAGGTCCTCCTAAGAGAACAGCGTAACTCAGCAGAAAGTTGATCGCTCTTCTTTCCTCTCTCCCTACGTGGGGAGTCTGCAGCCCCAAAGTTGCGCTACAAAGAGGGTAGAAAAAACAGGAGGGTTAGTTGGAGAGGAAGCCAAGATGAGAAAGCCCAGAGTCCAGGCTAGAGGACCAGTGCTGATCATCAAGCGAAGGAACAGAATCAGCAGCCTCAAGAGGGGGAGATGGAGATGGAGAGGAATCAGCTGGGTGGGATTTTCCGAGTTACAAGAAGGGCAGGGCTGTGAATGGCTGTTGGAGTGGGG